TTCCCAATATGCCTACCTGAAAACATAAGATTAAAAGGATAGAATACTCAATTTCAGCCAAGAAATCAATGTAATATGTTATATGTCAATAAACAACAATTATTGATTTACAGTGGGTTGGATGCAAATATCAGATGACACCATCAAATCTTCCCAATATCTCAAAGCATGCTTTATGACAAAGCTTTATCAACCCATTGGAATTCATCATTTTAGCAGCTCTATTGTAATCCTGATCTGTCCTACTCCTAACCTCTTTTCATTTTATAGAATAATTAATTTATTCAGGACATTCAACATGGAAAGGCTACCAAACCAATTTCAGCAAAAACTAGCTACAGGGACTAAATACAAATTTTCCTGTCGGGTTCACAAAATAAACAAGTCATAAATCCCTTCTGTCTGATGAAACAGTAAAGGTAATCCATGTAAAAGACATGAAAAAAAAAATGATAGACAAACTCCAATGCTTACTTTAATATGTCGGTCCACAGGGCTTATATGCAGATTTTCTAGCCTCAACTCAGTATGGGCAAGACCATGGCTGTGCAAGTAATTTACCTACAGTAAATGATTAATGGAAGAACTATCATTCCTCGAAATGCGTTATGGAATATACAAAGTACTTATATGCAAAGATGCCATCCACAAAAGAAACAATAAAGAGAAAATGAAATTTACTCCAATTAAAAGATCCCTCATCAATATGCGAATAATCCTCAGCTGCCTAGAAATCGCAGGACCTCCAGTTGTGCCTTCTCCAACTTTCCTAACAGACTCTTCATCCAGTGCAAGGGTGGCTTCTAAAGTTGGAAGCCAATCTGATTGTTGAAGCCAATGCCTCAAAGAAAAACTACCGTGATACTGCAACACAAAAAAATGAAGCCAAAAAAGAGCGTACAATGAATTATTCTTCTTTTTGGGACTTTTAAAAGCATTAATTAGAAGCAGCTTGTTACATGTTTTGTATCAAATTAGACCCTGATAAAACATTATAAACAAGAAATCGCATGATCATTTGTTACATACTTTTAATCAAATTAGATTCTGTCAAAACATTCTATTCTAAACAAGGAATTGCATGATCATATATTAAAACAACTTTAAAAAATATATATCTCTAGTGATTAAAAATCTACCCCATGGACAAGGATGAATGAGCCACAATGATCACTTGCAGGCAATGAGATATAGCCATGTACTTGCAACGAGTAAGAATGATACATAAGTTTACGGCGAACCAGCTTCTTCAATACCTAGAAGCAGAAAACACCAACAATTGACTTATGATAGAACTGGACCTATTTAGATTTTGATACTATGAGATCTCCCAACCTCTATTGCTCGTTTCCCTCGACGCTGAGCTTGCACACTGGATAGTTGCCGAAGTACAACTCTTGTATTATATAAGGGGCTGGAAATGAATTTACAGACATTATGCTCATGGCTAACCCATACGACCAGCCAGGAAAAGACTTAACTTACCTACCAACATCCTTCACAGTGGCTTCAAAAACTACCTCATCCGCCTATAGCAAAACTCAAATCAATCAGACAACCAACATAAATGTAAACCATTCATGACTCATCACAAACTTATGTTAGACCCCATACCCGCCCCCCAAGGCCAACACTGATGCAATCTAAAATCTTAAAGTCTGACATTTTGAACCGCATAACATGATCCAGTTCTTCCTCCACGGAAGCCGATAAAGCACTGGGAGCATCTTCTTGTGACTCCATAGAAGATGCATAGGCGGCTTTCCTTAATGACGAACAGCGAACTCCTTCATGTCGTCTTCTGCCTAGACTAGAGAATTTCCAAATAAAACGCAAGGGAACAGGTACAGCAAGTCTTGTCGACAAATTCCGGGTTGAATAAGCTAAGCTATTAGTCTCTAGTGGTGGGTTTGGTCCAGTACTCCAGAGCGCCATCTGAACATAAACGATTATATTTGCATCAGCAAATCTTCAGAAAGAGTCCAGCATGCATGAAAATTCACATGTAACACCCATGAAAGAGATTTTTTATGTTTTGTTTAAGAGCTGAACAGATTAACGAACCCATTGATAAGTGTATACTGAGTTTAGCTTTCTCAGGATGTAATCGTCAAGAATCATAAAACCTTTTTAATCCCACATTTTTGGAGTGAGTAATCATGTTTTTGTAGATAGAAGAACCAAGTAGTTGCAACTCTTGCTTTCTTAGCCGAACAAAATCAAACCAAAAGACAATGAGAGAGAGGGGGCAAGAGAAACTTTGGGAAATTCAACTGAAGCATCAGGAAGCTTGGTTGGATCAAGCGAAACCAAAAAGACTAGAAGCAAGCATTTTCCATATAAAAGAAAGACACCGTAAAAACGAAGGAGGTGAAAGAGGAAGGAGAAAAGAAAGAAACAAGTGGATAGAAACTAACCGGAATCGGAATCAGAATCGGAGGTCGTTGGAGAGGATCAAACAACAACAGTTGAATGAAAGAAGCGCCGTTCAGTCATACATATAGAAAGGAAGCGTGTGAGAATTGCGTGCGACGGAATGCTGGAAACGTTTTTCCACGGGTTCATCTCACATCCACGTCCGTCTCCCCAAATATCTCCTCCATCTACATCCTCTCTCCATCAGGTTACCTTACGCCGGTCCTACCGTTACCCCCCGTTTTCTGCCACGTCATTTAATTTGTGCTTCTTTACAAAACCAGGAATCGAAATATAGTAAATGTAAATTTAAATTGGTCTGGCAGAGATTCTGTAGCATTGGGAAACCTGGGAAAAAATTGACGGGATTAGATTTAGTACAAAGAGTTAGTTTTCATATCTCCGTGAATTAATGTTTTAATTTACGTTATAAGTTAATTTTCACACCATGTCTTGAATAGAGTTATTTTTAATAGAACAACACATGTAAGCAATTGGGGAAAAAAAAACCGGGGGGGGGGGGGAACAAGAAGGATTGCCGTAGTTGGGTAGGTCACTGAGAGAGGGTCTTGCTTTTAGAAGCAACATGAAGAGGTTAAGGTGAGAATTGTCACATCTGTGTATTACTGATGGAAGGAGACAAAATGAATCTTTGTGGTATTAGTTTATCCATATATGGCTGACGACTTTTTCATGTGCCAAAATAACTTTTGCAAAATCACGGAGCAACGAAAATTGCGAGCCATTTGGGATTCGACCATGCCAGCGAGCATTGGATACATGCTTCTTGCCTAATCCCATTTTTGTTATTACATCTAATCATATCTCACTTTATTTTCACCATCGAAATTAATCTTATATGATTCGCATAACCTCGTACACTAGATGATTAACAAAGACGTATTTTCGATGCATATTCTACTCTTAGGCTCCAACTTTAGATTCTAATCACTAAACTGACGGCTTGGCATGTAATGAATTATATGCTAATATTAAAAAAAAATAAAACGTTAATGAAAATAGAAAGGTAATAAGTTAAAGGCACCTTACCCTTGCCTTATGTTCAATAAAGTTGCTCAATAGGCTCTTTCGTTGTATCTATCCCACGCTATCTTTCATTAACGGTTTGCTTTGTATTGCAGTAAACTAGTAGCGTTGCAAGCGAGGACAAATCCAGAAATCATTCTGTGGGGGGATCATAACTGAAATTTTATTAAAAAGTGGAGGGCTAAAATTGATTTCTGCATGTTTCAAGACAAAAGCCTACCTATTTGTAAAGAAAATTTTGAAATATGCCCCCGTTGAATTCATCACTGGCTGCAAGATGGCCATGGCACAAAACTTTCTTCTTCGGAGACACAGGTGCAAACATACCTTTGAAGAGTTCACAACCAAATGAAATTGTTCACAATTGCTTGTTTCAGACGCATGGAAGATGTTTCCAATGGCATATTCAAGCACTGGATTTCTGTCAATTTCTCACCATCATTAGACTTATAGACTCCCCCTCTTCCAAACATGATGAGAATTGATGTCAATTGTTCTGTTTGGAACAAGATGAAAGCAGCATACAACATCATTAGATATGCCAATGGACAATGGATCCTCGGTTTCGAGAAAAATTTAGGATTCTTTCCTCCCACTACAGCTAAGATTCTTGCTATCAAGACGAGATTTGAAGTATGCAAAGCTTATAACATCATTAAACTTCATTTATATTTAGATTCACTTAAAGCAATAAATCTACTATTAAGAGATAGCGGCTTGGATCATCAAATTAGATCAAAAATTGAAGAAAGTACAATATTGTTATATGGTGAGTGGGATATTGAAATCTATTACAGCAAATAGGAAGCACTTCAATCTGTAGACTTACTTGCTAATGAAGCCTGTGGAACTGATTTTGATATTACTAGGATCCCATATGTACCTAATAGTTGCTTAAGTATAGTTAGGGAGGACTTTCATCATTTCTATGATAGACATGGCGAGTAAGGAGTAACTCTATTCTTCATTTTGAACTTTGCTTGCCCTTTGATCCAACCAAAAAAAAAAAAAAAGGACTTGTTTGAGTTTTGTTCTAAAAATTTATATAGAGAGAAGGGGGGGCGCTTCAGCCAGTTTGAACTTGTAAACAATTTCTTCTATGAAATATTAGTATTTTCCATGAGCTTTTTCTAATTTCTTTATATTATCCTAAAAGTTTGAGTTATTAATATTTCCCTTTCATCAATAAAAATTCAAGTATGCTTAGAGATTTATTTTTATAACTTAGGAGTTGATTCAAGTATGTGCAAGTGTCTTCAATTTGATGCTTAATAATCTCTTCCTCGCAAAACGATATCAAATGCTCCATCGATCCAAAAGGCCCTTCAATACTTGGCAGATTCGTGGCATCACCTATGGAGAAGCACTCTCTCTTTTAAATGCTGCCTTGGAAGATTGGATGGACAGTGACATCCTAGTTGGTGCTAATGTTTGAGCTTCAGATGGCCGATGTTTCAACGAATATTAAATACACAACTGCCATCTTGGAAGATTGGACCTACACCGGCATTCTAGTTGGTGTTAACAACGTCCATACATTCCCCTGCCACATCGCACATTGTTTCTTTAATTAATGAGCTGAAATTTGAACAGGTAATAGACAGGCTGCTACAAACACCTGACACAGTTAAGAAATTGTGATGCAGAAATCAACATTGATGCCACTTAACCTGAATGACAACGCTTTTTTCTTTCCTTCCCTCATCCATTGGATCATTAATGACGCGCTAAAAGTACAACTAAACCCAAAATATTGCTCTCGTGTCCATATCTTCTACCTCACAGTCAAATATGGTTCAATTACAATAGTTTGCCTATTTCCCCCCCTTTTTTTGGACGAACCGTACTTCCCCTTTTAAAGTCAAGCTAGGTGCAGCTTTCTCTTATATAAGACCCTGGCGCTGTAAATCAGTATACGTCTTCTTATTGTAGATATTGCCTTCTTTATCTTCATATTCTTCTTCCAGATCCGGGCGCCACTTGTTCACTCCTTGCCTTTCTTGTATTCTTTTCCAAAGTTCCTTTGCTTCCTGCATCACAGATGGCCCACGTTTCAAGTTTAGTTGAGGTGAAATAGTTGAGATTTCAGCCGTTGAAAGAGTCCTTTCAACAAGAATCATGTTTGACAAATCCGTTTCTCGTTGTTGAGTAATGATAAATCCTATTCAAATTGACTCCTTCCATCGAAATGTGATTAAAGCAATCATTGAGTAATGACACCAAACATATAATAGACATTGTATGTCTCATTTTTTTATGCATTAAAAATGAATACTGTTTGCTTCCCATGTTATACCAAGTGGAACTTTGATGGTAGGGCAAATGGACAAAGAAATTCTACAATAGATAATAGTGTCGTTTGCAAATTAGATGAGCAAAAATAAATAATTTTGATGCAAAGTGCATTCCATCACACAATTTCTTCTAAACCACAAATAACCTGCCAACCTAATCAGATCCAATAACAACTACTCCCTCAATTCAAAAATACAAGACATTTTTTCTAAGATAAAATGTTAAACAAATATAAGGTATTTTGGATCTTTCAAAGCGCAATTAATGAAGGTTGAGACACCCTATTAAATAAGAATAAACATAAAAATAGTGTATAATTTTAAAGACAATTAACTAACTCATTGGGAGGTGCAATTCCGTTAAAAATGTCTTATAATATTGAACAGAAAAAGTATGTAACAAGACTGTCTCCAGCAATACGTATGAGCAATTCTATAATCATGCTTGTGATTTGTGAAATATGTTACACTAACCATCAGCAAAGGAAAAGGAGGAACAAAGAAATATGAGTACCTCAATCGATGTTATTTCATTGAAGTTCTTGGTATTTGGTATACCAAGGCAGCGCATCCCATGCTGATGGCGCCATTCTTTAAAATGTCGTTCAAAAGCTCTACGCCCCCAGTAACTATAGTTCCCACATATCTCACACTTGAATTCCTGAAACGCAAATCACATTTATTTATGTGATCAGAATCCTGTGAGCTCTAAAGTGCTTGGTAAGCCCCTCACCTAGTTTAAGTAGGACCAAAATTTATAATTACTGGAATGGATAATTCCCATAACCAAAGGAGATTTCAAATCAGAAAGGATGAGAATCTCGGTTTCTAATTTTGAAAGGAAAATAATACCTGGCCCAGACCATGTAGCTTATAAAGCCAATAAGGTATAGGTTTCCCATCCCATCCCATGGGCAATTTTAGGGGATTATATATCTGCTGCTCCTCATCTTCACTTTCAGATTCCTCCTGTGTTTCTTCCTGTCAAGAATATGAAATACGCATTACTAATTTAACATTATCTGCATCTGGAATTGAAGAAAGAAAAGTACAAGGGAAATGTAATGACAAAAGTGAAGAACTCAAAATATTACTCACGTTGGGACAGAATGTATAATCTATAGAATGAAAATATACTCAAGCCACATGGTTTCAACAATGACCCGGCAGAGGAATTTTCTGTTTTACACTTTCGGTTACTATAAGGAAGGAACGCCTTCAATTTACATCAGGCACTACATATAAGCCCAGGACAATATCCACTTTCAAGTACAACAAATTCAACATAAATTAATGTACCTGAAAGCAATATAATAATTTGTTCTACTTTCGATTTAGTTAGGAGAGCCAAATTCAGAAATGGTTGTCATGCAATGGGCCAAAACTGTCAAGAAGATCAATTTTGAACTTAAGCATTATAGTTATTTCATATGGCAACCAATCGTTAAAGCTGATGCCTCACCCTCGCAATAGCCATCATCCTGAATGTTTTGAGAGTACAAGACATGTACATGCAATGTGTTAAGTTATAGCATTCAAATATAGAAGATATATAATTAATCTGATTTCTTCTACAAAAATATGAAACTAGAACATTTCATATCTACATTGATGTACTACTGAACGTTGACTCTTCAGAGTTCAACTCACCTCCTCACGTTCTGCTTCAATTTCTTCATATGTCAAGGCCTGCTTCTTCACAACATTATCTTTTGTTCGAGCAATTGTCTGTATCATGGTCAGAGAAAATTCATTAATGCAGGAGGTTATAATATAGGGAGAATCACATCGAAGGATCAATCAAAAAACTTATTCACAGACAAGGACCAAACAAAGTGGATCGTTGTTAGAATGAGAATATTGACTTGTTTTTTTTTCGAATGGGATTTATTATTAATCCCTGTCTGCAAATAAATTTCTTGAGCAGTCATTGGATGTGATTCTCCCTATAATATATGTAGACTATATTTGGTCAAAACACTGTCATCAAATGCCTACACCAATAAAACCCTAGAATTAAATAGTAGCAGAAACCTTAAAAAGGCTGAAGACAAAGTGGCAAGCAACATATGCTAACCTCTTGTAAAAGATCACATAACTTTGACATTTTGGCCTCCATCAGTGCAATTTCTTTTGAATTTTCATCTTGTTGTGGAACTGCAGCAGTGCCATTTTTTTCTGAACCTCGTGGTCCCTTGGCAAAATGCTTCCGGTCCAACATTTCAAGAGGTGTATGCTGCATAAGAAAGCCAAGAAAATTTCCCGTAGTCAAAGCTTAAGGGCATGTAAAGCAATTTCAATCAAAACAAGAAATGCTTAATAAGTCAAGCTGATCGGATATCAACAAGAGATTTTAGTTATCAAGAAGAAATAAATGCAGTTAGTATCAAAATATTACACTTGATTCGTCAAGAAAGAACTCTCAATTTTGGTCTAATGAACTTGGATAAGAGACGGTCAATTCAAAAGGAGGGAAAACAAAGCAACTTAGCAACTTCAACACTTAATAGGATATCTAGGTTTGAGATACAGCTCTAATGCTATGTTTGGTTCAGAGTAAGAATGTGCAGAATAAGAATGGGAGGCATTCCATTGTGGAATAGGAATGGGCGAGGCGTTCCATTGACGAGCATGTTTGGCTGGTAGAATCAAATTTGATTCATTCACAAGAATAAAATATCCCCAAAAGTTTAGGAATCTTGGTTACATCAATCTTTTGATGGAACAATGAGCCATTATTGGAATCCACCTTAGTTGACCAAAATAGCCTTCAATACTGAAATTTTCTTACCTTTATATAAGCAATCACTGTCCAAAAAACAAAATAATTATTTATTATCAATAATATCATTTAATAAACACTAAAACTAATATTTAATAAAGATGAGTAGAAAAATATAATATTAGGGAGAATCTCATCCAAGAACCTTCCAAGAAAACTATTCACGGACAAGGACCAACAAGTTACCATTCAAGAAGGAAAAAGTCACTATTATCATTTTAACAACAAACAATTGTATATTGATCCTTATCTGTGAGTAATTCTCTTGAAACGTCCTTAGATGTGATTCTCCTAGAATATTATGACCATATTTTCTTTTATTCGTAATAATAATCTAGTAATTATTTTACAATTATAAACTTATTTATTATTGATAAATAAAAAAACATTTAGTATATAAAAAAATGAAATAAATTAAAGTTCAATATTTTATTAGTTTTATATATTTTTGTATTAGGAATACTATTGGCCTAATTCTCATTCTCATCTCGTCCCTTGAAACATCAATCTCATTAACATTTCCATTGTCATTCCGAAGAAAATATACTCTGTAAAGATGGATGAGTCACCTTTGTAAGGAACAGCCTCTCTGCCCGTTGCTGAACAGTACCCCCAGTCTTAAGTCCCAATGCAGCCAATGCCTAGAACACCGGAGAAGAGGGGTATCAATGAACTATATTTGTTTTAAAATTACTAACTTGATTAAACAGTACAAATACAATGATCACAACTGAATCTCTAACGTGAGGAGTTATCCCCCAAAAGTTGTGCATCAAATAGGCACGACTGTGAAAATGCACTGCTGCTTAAACTTCTTGTAACTCCTAAAGCAATTAAAAGTGAGAACCTCCACAGACAAATAATTTAGAGCCAAAAACCATAGCATGATATCAAAGGATAAAAGTCGTATCAAATTGGCACGACTGTAAATATAATAACATGTTTCCAAGTTTTAGCTCACCTCTTTTAACTTTTCAGGACCCAATTCCATCAGCTCTTCAACTGTACTGTAGTAATCAAGATCAATGGCAGTGTGTTGAGCAGGTACATGTCCATTCTCTTGACTGTCATTCTCCCATCCTGGTACCTTGTTTGCAACCCAGTTTTCTTCAAACTCAGCTGTCACCTGCAATTCAATCAGACACTCACTACCAAAAAAACTGAGAGATGAAATGATGCACAAGGGATCACTCATGTCATGAGATGAGAACGGAGAATTGTCTTTGAGGATACAGGCACCCTTTCATGATGTAGCATTAATTCAATAACACTCGCCCACAAATGAAGGATCAGACTTGAAACTTGAAGCAGGAATTACATGCTAATTTTCAGTCAAACTGGCCGTTCAATTCATGCATTTGTGCATATATATATATATATATTTTAAATGTCATATAATCTGATTCAAAATTTTACTCAAACACTTGAATTAACAAGAGTTGGTAGTTGGGAATGAAGCATTTTATAGATAGAGGGGTTGTGTTAAAGGAAATCTTGGCAGTTTCTTTATCAATAACATTATATAATTGACCACACATTTTGCTAGAATATAAAGGTATAGTAATAGCAATTGAAGGATATCTTTTCCTTCTTACTTTTCTTATCTTTTCTTTTCTTTTCTTTTCTTTCAAATAAATGGTTACAGAATGACAATACACATATTTATAGGACACTTCTACGGCCAAAGGATAATAATGGCTAACACCACAATTAAAGTTGCAGCAATAAATCCAACAAAAATAATTTCACGCAGAGAGCCGTGAAATTTCTACTCTCACTGCAATTTTATTGCTAAGATGGAGAGACCAATTTATCCTAGCACACCTAGCACATAAATCAAGCTCAAAATGAAAAAGAAAAAGAAAGATAATTAAAAATAATAACCTTAGAGAAAATTCGATCCAGATCTTGCAAGGGTTCTGTCCGCTGGAAAAAATATATGAGATACTCCAAAAGATTCTCCAGATATTCCCTGTACTGCCTGTAGAAAATTGAACGACAGAAATGAAGACATCTAAGAAAATTATTTGCCAAAATCGGAGGAATATAAAAACCAAATAAACAAAAACATGCAACAGAAAAGGTGAGAAAAAGGGAATATACCGAGTCATTTTCATTTTGCGTGGTATCTTCTCTGGTAGTGAAAAAACATCAAGGTAAGCAGAGTACTCAATTGGCTCACCAAATTTGGAATTGATATACCTATAGTACAATTCATGCATGTCTAAATACCGCCCAAGAGCTTCCTGAAACCAATACCTCAAGGAAATCAATAACCAGGAACGATGGAGAAGCAAAAACTATCAGTTTGAAAAATACAGCAACATCTGCCCTAACAGTAGAACATATTAGATTTCATCTTACATGACTCACTAAAACCACTGTCTCAACGGACAAGAACCTAGGGACCTCCTGATAAAACAGGAGGTCTATTAAAATGGTCAAACACACCACCAATTTGAGGTCAACGGGACATTAAGGTCCACTTGGATATATTCTGAAGCTTTTCTTATTGAATAATTTCTGTAAAGAAAATGTTTATAATAACTGCCCAGCTTTTGTAAAATTATATCTAAAATATATTTAGAGAAAATTGTGAAATTAAATTGCACTAAAAGTCAAATTATCTTGATTCTATGAATAGAGAAATGTTAAAATCTAGACTGGAACGTCCCCAAAACCCAAGCCATCCATGCCCAAGTAGTCAGGTGATAACACCATCATCTTACACCAATAGCTATTTACTTTAATACTCAAGATCGCCCAATTTTGACAAAGTATATCCTACACGCTGAATAAGTCAAATAGCACAAAGAATTCTTTACATCCTTGAAAGCATTGGGAGGTGCAATAATTTTCTTTTGCTCCAAAAGACTACACGTTGCTTTATCACCAATCGAGTAACATGACTATGCAACAATGTAATCATGAGAGAGGCAGAGGGGGAGGAAAAGGAAGAGACCTCTCCACTAAACTCAATTTGAGGCTCCTCTTTAAGAAGTTCTTCATAGTCATCATTAGCATCAACAACACGTGCAGCTGGGTGCTTTCTATGATACTCTCGTATCTGCACAAATCAGAAGATACCAATGTGTTAAACATATAAAAGCAATTAGGATAAAATAACTCAGAGAACTCAGCTTCAACACATGAACATAAATGCTATCATTTTCACTCGCTCAGATTTCAATAATGTTTTACACATACACATCAACATGCACGTGTAAAGAAGTTAAGCAAAAAGAAATGCTGGTCTTCCAAGATCCTGCTTGGTAATCGACACTAGAATAATCCCATATAAGAATAACATGTAAAGACAAGATAAAAGAGATAGTCAATGATGTTGTAGGTAGACAGAATAGAACTTCTGACTCGAAAAAGGCATCTCTCCTTTTTATATTATTATAAAGCTCTTACATATGTAAATATTAAAAGAATAAATTACCTCTTTCAGTCTATCATAAAAGGCACTAAACACGTTTGTCCCCGTTGCAGTTTGACCCCCCAGCGCAGCAATTTCATCCTTCCTTGCACTGTCTTTATCTTCGTATATATCAATCTGAAGCCCACAGTCGGGAAAATCAGCTAACCTCTCCGTTTTAATTCGCAAGAAAAGATAGATGAGAAGTATATTGAAATAAAGAGGATAGAGGATGGGGAGATTACAACCGTCTTCACGGGGCAGTCCGAAGGACTAATGAAAAACATGGAAACGAAAAATAGATCTTAGTTTGGATCTTACTTCACCAAAACTCATTTACTTGAAACAGAATTGGTCATACAACAACACTCACATTGACAGCAGAACATTAAGAGATTGACAATACCATCCCCACTTCCCGAATATAATTTTTTGGTCAGTTCCTATTAACTCAACTAAGTAGCCACTTCGGCTTCTGAATATCAAGCTAAATTTCTTTCACTTCAGAAAAGCAGAGTAAAAAGCGTTTCAGTTTACGATTTATCGTTTCAGCGTTTATTTTGCATTAACCTAAAATGAAGTTTCCTCGAGGAGCAAACGCAACCTAATAGCTGAAATTCGAAGTTGAAAGAACCAACTTACGAGCTTTTCGGTGGTAGAAGTGATAGTATCAATCATAGTTCGCACCCGGTGACTCTGAAACAAGCGGTCCTTGTTCGACGCGGGCTCATTTTGAAGGTCCTTCACTATCAGACGCTCAAGCCGCTCCACCTCCTCGTGGGCCGCACGAGTCACCTCCAGCAGAGTCGATGACATTGTCGCTGGCTCAACTCAAGCAACGTCTTCAATCACCACTACTCTTCCAGATATTATGATTGTAGACTCGCGCCTTTAGGTTTTTCTTCCCTGCGATTGTCACCGACGAGCTTCAAATGTTGCATCTCTTTGAGGGAAAGAAAGGGAGAATTACTGTACAGATACGCTATAGAACTAAAAAAAAATAATATTATTTTACAAGATTAAAAAATTTAAATAAGTAAAATTAAAATTTATTATAATTAATTTTTGTTAAAATAAAAATAAAATTTTCTTTTAAATAACCATTCTTCCACTAAATTAATATTTTTTAATTATTTAAAAATTATTATGATTAAAATATAAATAAAATTTATTTTTTTATAAAAAATTCACTAAATCACAGCACTCATACTATCAAATCAATTTTTTGAAGATATTGATAATAAAATTGGTTGTTATAATAGTAAAAGAACTTGTTTTTTTATCAAATTATAACATCTATTTTTTATCACCATCAAATTACTGTTTTAAAATTAATAATAAAAGAATTAATTATTATTAAAATATAAATAAAACTTACTTTTTTTTAATAAAATTATGGTTAAAGAATATATAATGTAATATTTTAATTTTTTTACAGTAAAGATAGGTACTTTAATCTTGCATATATCAGCATTATTTGGTCTCCTGCGTAATTAATTCCCTCCAAATGGTTAATTGTGATTTTCCCACCCCTCAAATAGGCTTGAAGTCCTTAAGTCCTTTGCTGGAGATAACTTTTATTGTCCAATTACATAAATAACCTCGCGATTGGATCCTCCAACGCCACCGGCACCTCCTGAGGGAAGCCAAACGTCGTCGCTTACTACCCTGCAACCCTCACCGGAATTTCCGTCGGCGACGAGGTTCTGGCCACCGTACTTTCGGCCCTTATTTTTTCTTTCCGCGATTTGGTCATTTCTCTTCTGAAAGCAACAGCAAATCGAACTCGCATTTAAAAAAAAAAAAATTCAGCCCACAAGCAACTAAAGGGGGCGTCCAGAAATTCATTGGATCAAACTCAAAAAAAAAATAATAATAATAATAATAATAACCACTCTGAAAGCAGTCGCAAACACATGTAAGAAGAGAAGAGTGCTTACCTCCTCGTAACCGAATAGGTGGGATTGAGAAAATTTGGGGGGGGGGGGGGGGGGGACGAAATTGGAGGGAGACAGCCACAGTGAGTTCCAGTCTTCCAGATCCGCCGGCGACGAGTTGAGTGTTGACGAGTGATGGCAGCTGGAGAAGAAACTTAGAGAGGCAAAGCTGAGAGCGAGCGAGAACGGAGTCGGGTGGGGGGCGAGAGCGCGCGGCCGAGCATTCAGTTCAGACAGAGACAACGGAATGAGGTGATGAGCAACAGATCGAGCGAGGCTTCGAGGGTTTTCCTTCCCTGGATGGCTAAACGCAGCGTTGCAAAAAAAAATTTTTTTTAGGTAAGATATATGAGTTGCATTTAATTTTAATTAGATCTTACAATTTATTTTATGTAAATTAAACCTGATGGTTTGATTAATTAAAATCTGTAAATTTTTTAAAAAAAATTAAAACTTTGATATTTATATTAATGGTTATATAATTCTAAAATTACTTACATAATTTTTATAACTCAGAATTTATAAATTAAGTTTTCTTCTAAATATTTTTCATACGTAAAGAGTTTTCATAAAAAATTAAGAAAAATATAAATAATGTATTGAATTAATTTTTTCCTATTTTTCTAAAAAATTAATTTAAATTTTCTATAAATTATAAGAGTATTTTTGTTTTGTCAAATTTGGTAATTTATTATTAATTTTACTCTTCAAGGTTAACATATATAAAAGATTTAATTGTTGTAAAAGCTTGATTAAAATAAAATAAATTACAATAACCTAATTTAAAATTAGGTAAAGTTGTAAATACATTACTTTTTCCTTTTTTTAATTTTAACCTATAAGCAAGTGAAGACCGAAAGCTTGGATAACTTGTAGCCTGTCTTGCTCATTTACAATAAACACAAGTCAACTCATGAATTCAACTCACCCATTTTTTTTATTACAGGGTGGGTTTTAACCTGTCAATTTTGATCAAGTACAAGATAGTCCTGCAAGTCGCAAGTTTGCTCACTCTTAACATTAGGCAAATGAACTACAGGCCAACCCTTGCCAGCTAACCTTTTAGCAAGCTGGGTTATGCAGCTCGCTAAATGAATAGGCTAAGAAAACCTAGTCCAGATCATTTATTGGATAGCCCGCAAAATGCGACATGTTCCTTTTTTTTGGCTTATATGGTTTAAAATTCACAAAATATATATATTCAAATCAAATCACTCCTCTAAATCATCATGTATAGATTCTATCCGAGAAACAAACATTTTATATAAGAAAGTATAAATTATAAATAAAAAACACCCTATCATAGCAAATATATATACATACTAAATCCACACTCATAAACCAAACCAACAAGGAAGCAATGTAACAGAAATTCACCCCAAAAGGCAGTAACCATGTCACAATTAAGCTAGATTTATGAAAGAAGATATAGATGTCTTGGGAGTTTGCAACTTGCAAGCTTACCTATTAGAAAAATGAAACTTCCATTGAAGTGGAAGTGAAAGTTGGAAGAACTTAGTTCACTTGGTTGTAGAGAGGCTTAGACAATGTTGCGGAGAACTTGGAGGAGGAGAGTCACCCACGTCATGGAAAGGCACGGAGGACATGAAGACGATTTGCATCTACGAGAGTATGAATGTAAAATCCTTCTTTACTAAACACAATTAAAACTTTAAAAATCATGGTAATTAAAGGATTAATCCATAAAGAGATTACCGAGTTTGTAATTTGAAATAACAAGATCTCAAGTTTTCATAGTTTAAAATACCTTAGAAAACATTTATTAACTTATAACCAGAGTAAAATGGTGTTATGAAAGCAAGAAATACCCTAGAAGAATGAAAAAGAGTTGGAAACAATTGAAGATTTTGAAAAGTGTTGAAAACAGAGTAATGCACCGCAACTCGTGTAATATGCGTCACTGCGTGTTGCACGCTCATGACAACAATTATGCTATCATTTGACAGTAGAATCTGAACAACTTTCAACATGCCCTATTTCTTTATCTGTTATCTAAATAAGATGATTTAGGTGTTTATGGAAAACTCTTTCTTGTGTATTTATAGTCATGATAGATGATGTTGTAACTGTGGGGCATCTCTTAGTGCTCATTAGCCATTTCTCTAGTTAATACACCTATATATGACCCTTTATAAGGTTAAATAGAGGCAAAGTTTTTCTCTTAATGAAGAATATCAACATTTTCTTTTATGTCCATAGGGAGTAAGACTTGGTAAAGGAGATGAACTTCCTGGTCACAAGGTTATAGGAGACAATACTATCACAAGAAATTCAACTGCTAGAGTAGGGCTTATCAATCCACCACCCCATCATGATATATACTCCATTAAAGACCTTGCCCAGTTAATTCATGATCTGAAGGTTTGTCTATATATTGTAGCTTTTACTCTTTTATAATAAGGGGCTCTGGTTGAATTTTCTTAAAGTGCTCTACATTTAATTCTTTATTATTAATATGTAGAATGCCAACCCAAATGCTCGCATAAGTATGAATTAGTGTCTGAGGCTGGAGTAGGCGTAGTTACTAATGGAGTTGTTAAAAGACATGCTGACCATGTCTTGATCTCGAGTCATGATGGAGGTATAGGGGCATCCAAATGGATTGGCATAAAGAATGCTAGACTCCCTTAGGAACTTGGCTCAGCTGAGACCCACCAGACTTTAGTTGCTAATGACCTACGTGGTTGCACAGTTCTTCAAACTGACGGGTAGCTCAAAACAGAAGGGATATGGCCATTGTTGCACTTCTTGGCGTAGAAGAGTTTGGGTTTAGTATAGCTCCACTCGTCACATTTGGCTGCATTATGATGCGGAAGTGCCATAAGAACACCTGTCCTGTTAGTATAGTTACCCAAGATCTAGTACTTAGAGAGAAGTTTGTTGGAGAACTTAAGCATGTTATTAACTTCTTTTTCATGGTGGCAAAAGAGATGAGAGAAATTATGACACAGCTTAGGTTTTAGAGTGTTAATGAGATAATTGTTTGTTTAGACATGCTTGAAGTTGATAAAGATGTGATTAAGAGCAATAAGAAGCTGAAAAACCTCAATCTCTCTCTACTGCTTAGACCTGCATTTGAACTACGGCCTGAAGCTACTCAGTATTGTGTTCAAAAACAAGGTCATAATTTGGACTTAGCCTTGGACAATAAGCTTATTAGTCTTTCTGAGGCTGCTTTGGTCAAGTGTCTCCCCGTGTACATTGAAACTCTAATCTGTAATGTAAATTGCATTTGTGGGAACTATGCTTAGATATGAAGTGACTAAACGATATTGTTTAGCTGGTATTCCAACTGACACCTTCCATATCAGATTCATTGGAAGTGCTGGCTAGAGCTTTAGTGCTTTCCTATGTCCTGGCATTATTATGGAACTTGAAGGTGACGGTAATGACTATATTGGTAAAGGATTATCTAGTGGTAACATTATAGTATATCCTCCCAAGGAAAGCAATTTTGACCCTAAGGAAAACATTGTAATTGGTAATGTAGCACTGTATGGGGCTATAAGTGGGGAGACATATTTAATGGGGTGGCAGCAAAAAGATTTTATGTACGAAATTTGGGGGCAAAGACAATTGTAGAAGGTATTGACAATCATGGGTATGAGTACATGATTGGTGGGATTGTTGTTATGCTTAGGAAAACTGGGAGAAACTTTACTGCAAGTATAAGTGGAGGTATTACGTATGTTCTTGATGTTGATGGCAAATTTCAATCTAGATGGCAACCATGAGCTTGTAGATTTAGATAAGGTTGAAGAGGAGGAGTGTGTTATTACTCTTAGAGTATTGATACAACAGCATCAACATCACATAAATATTCTTCTTGCCAAAGAGGTACTTAGCAACTTTGAGACTCTTCTTTCTAAATTTATCAAGGTGTTCACCAGGGAGTATAAACATGTTCTTGCTAGTATGAAGGTTGATACAACCTCTAAAATAGTTGTGGAGCTTGCTGCCAAAGTTGTTGAGGAGCTGGATAAAGCAAAAAGGGAAGATCAAGATGCATTTCAAGAGCCAAAGAAACTGGTTGTTTCATCTTTGAATGAGAAACCAAGTCTGGTAAATTTTACTTTGTGCTTAGAGAAACTAGTTGCTTTTTTTAAATATATAAAAAAGTAAATATGAATCTTGTGCCTTCGATGATAACTCTAGTTGCCTTCACATCAATCTATTTCTTATTCTTTTGGCTAAGTTTTCTTAAATAGTAGCAGGAAATTTATTTATTTATTTAAAAAAAACTCAATCCTTTTTATGATGTTAGCTTAAATAATGGAGTTGAGGCTATATAAGAGATAATGTTAATTTTGAACATTATGAACCTTCTGCTGGATATATAATATCATGGACCCTAACTATCTTTGTTAGGTCTAAGGTCAATATATTTTGTTTCGTTATTGTTGAAACTTTATCTTAGAGTACTTGAAAGATATTAAAACCTCTATTATTTAGTATGTGTTTTAGTTGGCTAATATGTTTTAAATGCGCAGAAGGTTGATCAGGCTAAAGCATACAAGAGGCCTAATCAAGTTGTTAATGTCATTAAACATAGGGTTTTATTGCTTATGAATGTGAGGGTGTTCAATGCAGGGATCCTAAGGTTCACATGAGTAATTAGAAAGAAATGATGGTACAGGTAAAGCCTGGACCACTTTTGAAGACTCAGTCTGCTTGTTGCATAGACTATGGTACTCCCTTCTGTCATCAGGTAGGCATTGCTTAATAACTTCTCTTTTTCTTATTTTGTGAAGTTTTTTAGCTAAATATACATTTTTTGCATTAAAATTTTAGGAAAATTCTAGATGTGCTCTAGGGAACGAGATACTTGAATTTAACGAGTTAGTGTACCAAAATAGATAGTGGGAAGCATTAGATCGTCTTCTTGAGATAAACAACTTTCCTAAGTTTACTGGTCGGGTATGCCCGTTGTAACATCCTAAATTTTTTTTAAAAGAAAATAATTTAACTCAATCATGGTAGAAAAGTGTCTACCATGGTAAACAGAAGTTAACTTATCCTATTTTTTTTTAAAACAATGCTATAATTTAAAACACTACCATAGTAAGAAACGATAAAATATAGCCTTATAAAATATTTTGCCTTTTGAATTAACTACCATGGTAGAAAAGATTAAATCCCTTTTCAAATAATACAAAACAATTTCATACAACTAATACACATTTACAATCATAGTTGGGTTACAGCTACCCAACACATC